GGGGGCAGAGGACTCCTCGCTGCAGGTGGTCACACTGTCGTGCTCGGTAGTGCTCTCTGCCCACAACATCCTCCCGCTGTTAATTCAAGCAGCAGCAGTTGTTCTTGCAGAACTAATAGTGAGCTGAGCTGTTCCGTCGCCACTCACCTACCTGTACGGTCACATCCATTTTTAAGCCGATAGTGAAAGAGCCTGTGAGTGCAGGACCACCCTGCTCACATCCCCAGGTGCTGTTCCCTTGAGCTCAGTGCAGTGACAGCTGTGGACAGTGGGGTGTGATTTCCTGTGTTCATTATGTGTGAAGCCTGTGAATTTATTATGTGTGATGTGCTTTTTCACCCTTGCCAGTGGCTGTGCCTGTTCCCATGTCTTGGTTCATTCTTCATGTTTGTACCTAGATCCAGAGTGGGCTTCTTACAAACTGGGAATATTCATTTGTTTGAATTGCTCTGGGATCCATCGAAATCTTCCGGAAATCAGTAGAGTCAAATCCCTTCGTCTTGACTACTGGGAGAATGATCTTATAGAGGTACAGGGCAGTAATTCACTTACTTGTCTTCACATTTCACCCTGACCTCCTCTGCCTTGTAATTCCTGTGCTATCCACCTTGGACAGAGGAACAAAACACTGAGCCAAGTTAACTCCAAGTTAACTTCGAGGTTTTATGACCTCCTCAATCAAATGGCGTTGGTAGGTTACTGTTTCCAACAGTCTGCAATGTATATTTTTATACACAGAGTAACTTCTCCGTGTGGTTTAGAAGCCCACAGACGTTTCCAGGTAACAAGTTGTCTTCAGACAACAACAAACTCTTCTTAAACATTGGTTCAGCCTTTCATTGTTCAACTGAACAGTGTTAATAATATCATCATGGTTAATGTCTAAGAGGAGATGAAGGAATAGGGAGATCATAAACAAATTTTCTCATTTTCTATTGTTCTTTTACTCAATAACCACAGTCTTGTACTCCTTCCCACTTGGTTCAGAACTGTAAATACTGAAAAAGGCTCAGACACCTAAAAATTGCAAGCTCTGGTGCCAAAGGGAATTTCTAAATGTTTGTAGAGACACACTGAAAGTTACAGGAAGACTCAGGAAAAAGCACCATGCTCCCTTTTATATAAGCTTCATTTTATGTTTATGCCATGGCATTGGTTTATAGTTGCACATCTGACTGTAACTTCTCTTGTGTTTCAGTTTATGAAGAACCATGGGAATCTCTGTGCCAAAGCTAAGTATGAGGCCAAAGTTCCTCTCTACTACTACATCCCCCAGTCCCACGACTGCTTGTAAGTTGATGGTGTATTCACTGTTGCAGACCTTGACAGCTCTTGAACTACTGCTTCCCTCTACAGGTCTCTCTGGCTGATTGACAAAAATAGAGTAGAGACAGATCAGCTTTATCCATGTTTTCCTTTTTCAGGGTTTTAAGAGATCAATGGATTAGAGCTAAATATGAGCGTGAGGAATTTGTTGTCACCCAAGTCTGCCAAGATCCTTGTTCTGCAGGTAAAAGGATTGTCAGGGAAAAGGTATCAGCCTTAAGGCCAACAGCAGTGTTCTGTTTGCATCTTTGAACATCTTTGAGGTTGGCTTGCCATGTTTGAACTGCTGGATGTGCAGTCATTGCTTTGAGTCTAACTTTGAGAAGAAGCTCCCGAGAAAAGGCACTTAGACAAGTGCAAGGGTATGTTCAGATCTTGCAGTTCTCTGGTTCTCCACTGACTTTCATATAAGGTGAAAATTCTTGAAACTGTGCCACATCATCTTTTAGATAAACAGTCCTGCTGTTGTTCCACCCTTCTCTGACTCTTACCTTGGTCTGCTGTGCAGGTAGCCGTGAAGGATTCCTCTGGAAGCTTGGGAGGGCACACAAACACTTCCAGAAGAGGCAGTTTTTCCTATCAGCAAAGGAAGGGGTGATGAAGTACTACACCAAAGAAGTGAGTTCATCAGCCAGAGCTGGCCATAGGTAGCTGTTCAACACCCATCCCCAGACTCTGCTCTTGACAGGCAAAGCCCAGCATGAATAGCTCTGTCTCTAGCTTTGCAGCCAGGCCAGCCTGTGCTTGGAGGAGTCCAGATGTTTCCCCATTAACACTTGTGGCATCTTAGACAATTGCTCTTTTGGATTTAACCCTTTTCCTCATCCCTTACCTCAACCCTGCAGTCTCCATTTCCTTGGTGAACAAAGGAAATGGAATAGCAAGGCAAAGAAGAGATCTGTTGGCAGCTGTTACTTCTTATTTTACCAAAATACTCTCTCATCAACTCCTGCAGCACCATCCTTACCGAGTCTCCATCCTATGGGAGAGTGTAGCTAGTTGTTCTCCAGTCTAGAGGCTGGAGACAGGCCCATCCCTTGCAGTGCAGACTCATCCCTCTCAAATAGCAGCTCAGCATTTGTCAGGAAAGGGAATCACTCTCGGTAAGCAATTTATGTTGCATATAATTAAGGGTTTATGTTTCAGGTATAGCCAATGCTCAGATATTTTAGGATGTCTGCTTTCTCCTCAGCAGGGATCTAGGTCTCATACAGCTAATCTCTCCTCCATCACCTTCCCTGAGAGCTCTTTAATACAGTGATGCTTTCCATTTCACAGTCCAGAGGTCCAAAGGCTGTTATCAGCATTGAGAGCCTGAATGCAATGTTCCAGGTGGAGAAAATAGGACATGCACACGGGTTGCAGATCACCTACAGCACAGATGGCCAAACAAGGAACCTTTTTGTCTATCATGAAAGTGCAAAGGTGAATATCATGGAGATTTTGGAATAAGCAAGATGCTTAAATGTTGGATCTGTTTTTTGGAAGAGATGCCCTGTTTCTGCAAGGTCTGGTTTTATTTGGAGCCACTATGATTTGTAGAAGGTTGCAGAATTTGACACTAATAACTGCAGCATCTTGCTCCTCTTCTCTTGGGGCATTTAACCTTCACACCCTGAGTCTTAAGGTGCACAGATGTAAATCTCTGTAAGGGTGCCTTAGGTGCACAGATGTAAATCTCTGTAAGGTAACTGCCTCATGGTTTTATACAACTCTGTGATTATATTCTTGGAAGCTTTCTTGATATGCTTAGAAAATATTGTTCTGCATTAAGTAAGTCTACAGGTTTTGTTAGATTTCTGTTTCTTCCTTGACACAGTTCTCGTGTCTTTCCAGGGACAAAGGTTTTTAAACAACCCATCCCTGAATCAACTGAAAAAGTCTGTGTACCCAGACTCGGGTGACTGTCTATGCTGAGAATGCCCAGAACCTCCCAGGAGGGAGATTTTTAAACTCTTTTGGAGGGTTAATGTTTTTCAGGTGTCTGGGACAAGTCACTGACTCTCTCTGCCCCTTGGGGAGAAAGCAGATCTTTGCAAAGAGATCATGAGGAAGGAGAAGGACATTTTGGAGAGGCAGTGCTCTTACTCCTCCTCATTCTTGTCTTTGTGTTTGCTGTTTTCCCTAGGAGATTGTGGACTGGTTCAATGCTATTAGGGCAGCTCGTTACCACTACCTCAGAACAACCTTCCCAAATGTCCCTGAGCCTGAGGTGAGACCTGAACAGGGCTGGAAGCAAACACAGCATGGGAAAACATGTTCTCACTACTTCTGCCAGAGTCAGGTGCTCAGAGAGCAGCACACGGGTCTTGGGAATGGACAAAAGAGGCAGAAGGAAAGGCCACACTGGATAACATGCAAAAACCTGGTTAGCATTTAAGGCCTAAAGCTCTCCACGTGGTCCTTAGGAAGTGTAATCTTTCACAAATGTTGTGTTCCTTCTAACTTCAGACTTCCCTTTACTGAGCTGCCAGGAAAAACCCAAACCCTGAAAGCCACAATTGATGGTGATCAGCTTTGATACAAACAGAGCAGAAAAGTAACCTTGAACGAGACACACTGTCCTGGTTTTGTTTGGTACCAGGCACAGACTTTTTTGTGTTTGTATCCTTGTAGCTCATACCCAGGATCACCAGAAATTATGTCAAAGAAGGATACATGGAGAAAACAGGACCAAAAGTAAGTGCACACTTGGCAGTACACAAACAGGATTCTTCCAGATAGAGAATATTTGGTAATTTTATGATGTTTGCTAGTTAAGGGTTTATTCAGTGTCCATATCCTTCTTGGCTCACTAAAAGACATTATATTCAAGCCTGTCATGTTCTTTGGGATCATGTTTTATATTGCGTGGAAAATAAGATTGGAAAGAATCCTTGATGTAAGCAAGATGGATTAGCTGGCAATGTCATGCAAAGTGCTGTTGCACAACACTCCATGGATTGCTCTATCTGCTCACTGCAGCTCCTGCTAGAGGAGAACATCACATGCTGAGCCCTCTACTTCTCTGTTTCGCTTACAGTCAGTAGCACATAGGTCACATATACTTGTAACAGCAAAGTGTCATTGAGCAGATTTCTTCACGGTGAAGCCAGTGGTTTGGTTTGATTTATTGTGGGAAAGTATTTGGGCCAGCACTCCTTGGAACAGGAGAGCCAGATCTGGGCACTGCTGAAGGAGGAGATAAAGATCTGAGGGTTTGTTTGAACACAGCCACTTCTCACCTTGCTCCCCCAGTGAACCCTGAGCCAAAGTGCAGTAAGGTTCAGTGGTGCAGTGCTGGTGCTGAACACGCTGGAGTTTGGTCCAGCTCCTGCCAGTGTCCCAGGACCTCCTCTGCAGGTACTTGCACACAGCATCAAAGTTTGTGTGCTTCCCTCCTAAGGCCTGAATTCTGCTCGAACTGAAGTGAGCCCTGGAGAAGCTCTTGCAGTTCAGCTCAGGAATGGTCAGATCAGTGTAGCTGATGGAATCAACACTTTAAGAGTACTAGTATTGCACACTCTGCAATGCCAGGGACAATCCCCAAACTGCTGATATTGATTGCACACTCCTCACTATCACCCCTGGCCCAGGGATTGTTCCCTGCAGGGATTTCAGTCTGTGCCCTGCAGCTTTCTAATCCTGTTCATTTGCTCACACATAGAGCCAAACTCCCCTGCCTTACCCAGGGGATTGTCACTGAGTGCAGCTCTGTAGTTCCATCCCAGGGAGGAGAGAGCTGAGGGCTGCACACAGCAGTCACTCACCCCTTACCACCTTATGGGGGTGAAGGAAACTGAACTTGAGCTCCAAGTCATTTAAGCAGTCCAGGGATGTGAACAGGGCAAACTTCTCTTTGGGACTTGGTCTTTTAAGAACTTCTGCCATCTCCTTGCAGCAGAAGGAGGCCTTTAAGGTACGCTGGTTCTGCCTGGATTCTCAAGAAAGGAACCTGATGTACTTTAAAAATCCACTGGTAAGAGGAGTGTTCTTTGCTGTTCCACAACCTTTGTGAGGTGGGTGGGGAGGAAGGGTCTGTTCCATCCAGCTCTTGCAGTGGCTGTGCAGGACTGGAGCAGGCTCAGCCCCCAGAGCCCATCTCCCTTGTCAGTGGATGTCTCTGAAGCTGAGCTGGTTGGGAACTCTCTGAGTGTTCTGTGAGTGGCTGTGAGGAAGATCCAAGTCCTTTAAAAGTAGTTGCTGCTGCCACAAGTGTTTATGCCCACTGTCTTCTGGCCCCAGTGCCATTGTGCCTTCAACCTTAGGCAAGATGAGCAATATTCCAAGAACAGAGGTTTGTCAGCCCCAATATCCTGCTCTAGCCATGGGAATATCCTTCCTTGCCCACCAAACCGCTCTGTAAGAGTGGGTCCCTACCTCCTGCCTCTGAGGCTGCCCAGGAGTGCAAAAACCATCCCTGGTGTGTTTCCTGCTGGTGTCACCAGTCCATGCCATCAGTGTCCCCTCCATGCCTCCTCAAATGCTGTTCCATGTCAGAAGGTAAAGCAATGTGTGCTGGAGCTGCACTGTCCTCTGGCTAATGGTTGTCTTCCTTCTCTCCAGGACGCGTTTGCACTGGGCCAGGTTTTCATCGGACGGAGGGATGAGGGCTATGAAGTCCGAGCTGGTTTGCCCCAGGGATTCTGGGCAAAGAAGAGGAAACCAGTGATCACTCTGGTCACACCAGTGAGGGAGTTTGTGTTTATCTGTGAGAACGACAGGAAGCAGAAGGAGTGGATAGATGCCTTAAACGGAGTCATCACTCAGCTTTGACTGCAGGGGGGAGAGGAGCCAGGCAGCCACATTCCAGCTGGCTGCAGCTTCTGTCCAAACAGGGACAGGGTTGTGTTCAACAGACTTGGTTCAACAGACACTGGTCTTTTACAGTGCTATGTTTCTAGGACAATAAAAACCCCACAAGTCAAGCCTGAATTGTGGAGGATACTGTAATGGAATTGTTCTAGTGACAGATGCTCCCAGCTCCTTGCTTTCAACAGTCTCTACTGTCTGACTTTTTTTATGAGTGGCAAATTCAACACATGAAGGGGAAAATTTTCCGAAGCACAACCCCACACAGTGCCCCAGTGCACCCATCATGAGCACAGGATGAACATGTGCTGATCTGTCTCACCTGAAAGGACATGAAGCTTGAACCTGATTAGTCTGAGCTTGAAAGGCAGAAGCTAGTTTGAAAAGTGTTGTCTTCAGTGACTTGCTTGAAAACACTCAGTGAATGAGGACCAGCACTGAGTGCTGGAGGGTGAGTGCCTCCTCATCAGGTACCACTTGTGTCCACTCTGCAGGAACTGGTGAAGATTTACACTGGCTGATACAGTGCACTGAATATTTCTGTGCCTCGAGACCAAGTCTAAGATCTGGTTCTACCAAGAAATAATTATTCAGATATTTAATTCTTCTTTCCAGATAGCCTTAGTTTGCAGATCAAGAGGAAGTCTTGCAGACCAAGTTTCTGGTGAAGCTTCCACCTTTTGCTGACAATTGCCAGCCAGTCTGAGACACTCAGAATAGTTCTCTTCTGCAGAAATGAGGAAGTGCCAATGCTTGCAAGGATTAGTGAGATTAATTCTTCTCTTTTTATTTGGGTCGGGTCATCATTCTGCCTGTCCCAGCCAGCTCTGAGCAACCTGCAGCAGTTTTGCTTGCTGATACGTTCCCATGAACTTCCCTGTGTTCCCACTCTGTCTCTCCACGCAGCCTGACTCATACTGATGCCAAGAAAACCTGGAAAATAACTCCTCACAGACTTGTATCTGAGTGGCAGGTGTGTGTTTATTCAGTGCTGGGCACGGGGGGGATCACGCCACCAAACCTGTGCCCACCAAACCCGATTCCATGATCAATTCTACTCTCCGTGCTGCTTCAGCAGAGCTGTTACACAGACTAATCCTGCAGCTCCTGAAATCAACAGAGGGATTGATTGTATAGGGGACACTGTCAGTCTCCCTTTGGTTTGGCATTGTTTACTGTTGGTTTAGATGAGCCGAGTAGCCCAGGATGACTTTAGAAGGTTCAGTCCATGCCGTAGCCTGAACGTCCCACGGACAGGACTCTCCCCGCTGCAAACTCGGGAGATCCAAGCGATGCCAACCCCGTGCGGCGCTCAGGGACTTTGAGCGAGTCGCTGAGGTCAGGGCCGGGCCCTGCGTCACACTCGGGGGC